CTCTTAGCAACGTTTGTCTCTCTCTCATTCCATCATCCATTCATGCAAGCTCATCAGGTAAGTTGTTTTCTCTTGTATATTTTACCTTCAAAATGTCTTTTGAGTGCCAAATTCTCCAAGCTCCACTTCCTCATTAAGTGTCTAATTTGATTCTGAGTTTCAAATTTTCTTTAACCTTTACCACTCTGCATTATTTACAAGTATTACTTCCATGGAATTCATATTCAAGGCTCGTCAAATGCACTAAACCCATTTTTGATTTCAGTTGTGTTATGATGGAGAATGTTTCCCTACAAGTTTGGCCTCGGCAGTCGGACAAAAGATATAAAAATATTCCTACATCAAGAGGAGTAGCAGTAGCAGCAGTAGTCTAAGCTGAAAGCAGTTAGTCATTCATGGTTAAGCATTTTCTTCCCTAGTTTCTATACTACATTATCTTTCCCTGTACCAAAAGGTAATAAACTTGTTGTTAAACCAATTCTAGTTTTCTACTGTTGTTTTTTATAACTCAATTACAAGTTACTATTGCAGGACATGACAAAACCTCTACAAAATTCAAACATGTTCCGAGTTGTCTGCAGAGGCAGGACAACATTCTTTGCTTAGTCATTTACAGAGTGCTAAAGGATAAGACTTAGTTTCTTCAGGGCTTTGTCCATAGAATTCTCAGTATCCTTCTGTAGAACCACATGTCTGTTGTTTCCTGTTCATCTTTATCTGTGAGGAGATTGTCCAGCATTCACTACCGTGTAGAAGGATTGCTATTATATAAGAGAAACAAATAAAAGAATGCTGAGCTAACAAAAATACTTTCTTAAGGTTTGGAGGACATCTTTTATTATTCCAAGGCCCCTTCAGTTTTTGGCACCACATTTTTCATCTTATGTTAAATCACTTCCCAGATATTTAAACTTCTGTAGTTGTTTAATGTTGACATCTCCAATTGGTAGTTTGTATCCTGGGCTTTGTGGTCTTTTTTCAATAGATAGTTCCTATGAAGGGGGCTTTTTCTCTTGATGTCTTCTTACAATTGGTTAATCTTATTGGTTAGTCCGTTTTTCTTGCTTTCCTTTAATTCTTTGTCTAAGATGTCATGTATTTTTCAAAATTTATTTTAAATAGCGTGCATTACATCTATCTTAGTTTATTTCTATCTTTGTATCTCTGTGTCCATCTGTTTCTCTATCTATCCGAGTCAGTTCATACCTATCTATCTATCTAAGTCAGTTCCTATCTATCTATCTATCTAAGTCAGTTCCTATCTATCTATCTATCTATCTAAGTCAGTTCCTATCTATCTATCTAAGTCAGTTCCTATCTATCTATCTAAGTCAGTTCCTATCTATCTATCTAAGTCAGTTCCTATCTATCTATCTAAGTCAGTTCCTATCTATCTATCTAAGTCAGTTCCTATCTATCTATCTAAGTCAGTTCCTATCTATCTATCTAAGTCAGTTCCTATCTATCTATCTAAGTCAGTTCCTATCTATCTATCTAAGTCAGTTCCTATCTATCTATCTATCTAAGTCAGTTCCTATCTATCTATCTATCTATCTAAGTCAGTTCCTATCTATCTATCTATCTATCTATCTATCTAAGTCAGTTCCTATCTATCTATCTATCTACCTAAGTCAGTTCCTATCTATCTATCTATCTAAGTATCTACCTAAGTCAGTTCTATCTATCTATCTATCTATCTATCTATCAGCCTCCCCTGCTGTTAATAAACACTGTTTAAAGTAAAAATAAAAATGGGGAGTCTATTTCAAAGACTAGTAACCTCAAGACTTCCTCACTGTTTACACACTTCGTCTATGGTATTCTCAACAGAAATGTAGTCTTCCATCTGTAAAACCACATTTCTGCTGCCTCCAGTTTCCACTGGTTCTGCATTCGCTGACATATAAGAGAATCGATATTACATAACAGTTCAGCCTTTTTGCTTTGTTTCTAATGAAATTTTCCAGTTTCATAGTATTTAGTTTGGCTTTTGGAAGGCATCTTTTGCTATTCCATTGTGGGTTCAAATTTTTGTGTCGCATTTTCCATCCTCTCTTAAAACACTTCCCAGATGTACCTGTTTGATGTTAACATCCGAGTTGGTATTACTGCTCTGTCAAATTACTAGAGACATTGAGCACTAAGTTTTTGCCTCATGTTTATAAGGTTTTCCTTTGAGGCCTTACGATTATTCTAGTTTGTTTGGATAATCTGTCTAAGCTTGGCTTGAGTAATGGTGCGCAGACATAGAAAGTCTTACATTTTGTCTTTTTTTTTTTTAACTACTTCACCCCAAGCAAGGTGATAATGCCACTAAGATGCAAGGAGTGACTGAGAGTGGAATAGGATGAGAAGCCTTTAAAAGAAGCAACCAGAAATCCAATTCTAAACAGGAAACAATGGATAAACCCTCTTGTTCAAGAAGACAAATAAGGGGTAACTGAGAGTGGAAGAGAATGAGAAGAAAGGACAATAAAAGAACAGTGTTCAGGAAGACAGAAGATGGCAATTGTTGCTGCATTTAAATTTTTAAAGACTGTAATCGGGGAAGCAAGAAATTAGGAGGGAGTTTTACAGGTAAGTAAAGAAAGTATGGCTGCAACTAGTTAGTTTAACTTGTGGATTTTACGATTCTTTCAAGTAGATATGTACAAAGAAATGGTAATTGTAGCAACGAGTGGAATGAATGAAAATAGACCAATATTTGGCAATGATCTGTAGTCGTTCAGGTTATTCCTGTGCAGATTTACAGCCAGAAAAATGAGAAAACGGAAAAATGTAGAAGCAATTCTTTTCTTCCTCCATTTTTTTTTTTTTTATCCAAAATAAGAGGCCGTTGTTCTAAAAACAGGTGTAAGGAGAAGCAAATATTCCACTTTGGTTTTTCTTTCTTTCTTTTTTTTTTTTTTTTTTACTTCACCCAGGAAATCAAAGCAACTGACCCTAATCTAGACACAAGATAAAAAAGAATCCCATCTAAACGTAAGATGAAAAACAGCCCAAATTAAACACAGAATCCCCAAATTAAAGGTCAGCTGGCACCATACAAGTTAAGATATCTTTCAGGATTATCAATAACAATTTCTACCACCACTAACTCATTATACAGTCAAAATCTCTCTCATCCACGGGCTGCCAATCTTTGCTTATCCAATCAGCAAATATTTTGTGTTACAAACATGTTATTAAAGCAAAGCTGCTTTGCAGAATATATTTCAAAATAGCAAAAATACATGATTATTATTATTCCTTTGATTCTGTTTCATACTAGTTTTTTCCAGGTTCCAACCAGAGACCTAAGGTCACCATGACATTTTCCATTGTCAAATATTGGTCTATTTTTCATACAAAACAATAAATAAATAAAAATAAAAACTTAAAAAAACAAAACAAAAAACACACACATTTCACATAGATAAAACCCTTCGTAGGATGTGAAGCTGTACTTGTGAGAACAATTTTTTGTATTTCTTTAAGTCATGGGCTACCAAGAATTCCTTCAAAGAGACTAAGAACCATTTCCAATCAAACCGAGGGCTCCAACTGGAATTATTGTCTTCATGTGCCACATTTTTGAGGTTTCAAAGTGTAGTATCTGCGCTTTGTGAGCTGCCGGGTTGGGCGTCTGTCGAACTCTCTGCTTGCAGAGAGGAACCCGGACGAAGCTCTGCCGAAGGGTAGGGTTTCGTTGGGGGATGTTGACGGAACTGGCCCGCCTCGGCGGGTTTGGATGGTTATTTATTTTTGGCTGGGCCTACGGGCTCTGAGATACCCACATTAAAAAGGCCTTGTGCCACATTCGATCCCCGTGGGTGGATTGATAAATACCATTTTTGAGGTTTCCACTTTAAGGTATTTGATAGTTTTTTTTTTTGAAGATCTTCAAAGATACATTACAGTCTGTAGGGACTGCGATGCCAATAAGAAATCACATTTTGTGGTTTTTGATCGCAATGTGTGAAAGATTTACTTTGATTGTTCTGGATGTAAAATCCGATAAAATTATTACAGGTCCTATGTCTGTAACTGGGTCTGGATGGCGTTCATACCAATTTCTTGCAGTTTCCTTCCCCCCAAAAAACTTTCCAGAGTAGCTATTAGCCCACTCTTGTCATCCTGGGTTTTATATTTGATCAATGTTAATGCAGTGCAACCTGATACAAGATGGTCAATTGTTTCTGGTTATTGATCAATAAATCTGCATTTCGGCTTAACACAAGTTTTCAGTATGGTTGTTTAGTAATTTTTAGTTAGCAAGTATTGGTCAATTATTATTATTTCAATTATGGGCGAAAGTAACTTTGAAGATCTTCAAGAAAAAAATATAACATCAAAAGAAAAGGATCTTGAAACAGAAATTTTTAAAATGTGGTACATGACGACATCAATAAATCCAGTCGTAGTTGCGACCCTGGTTTCATTTAGGGAAAGGTCTTGATAGGCTCATCGAAGATTGCGTCTGTCTTATAGAATAAAAAACTTGTTCTTCTTACAAGCCTAATCTGCACCTTTTGAATGACTATGTGCGCAATATTTGTAAATGTTTCCACCCCCACTATTTTTTGCATGGGAAAATGCAGGGAAAAATGTTGTCATATCTAAACATTGATCTCTAGCAGGGACATTAGAGGAAATTAGTATACAACAGAAGTAGTGGTAGTACCAGCAGTAATGATGCAATTCTGCTTGCTCTTTAGCACATACATTACTCCTGGCAACTCCTGTTTGCAAAAGATCACAAAAATTGCAATGTGTAAAACTGCTTATGTGCTCAGAGTATTACCAATGTAAAGAAAATATAAACACTATACATATTAAGTAGCACTTAACATCAGAATATATATGTGTTTACTACCTACCCAGTAAGGCAATGTACTAAACAGAAAGAATAATACTAATAATAATGATGTCAACAAGGCTCAAATCTTGTAGAAAGATAAACATTCCTAAGAGTTACAAAAGACAGGAAGTTGTGGAGAGCCATGATCGTTAACACGGTACATAGAAGAACTAGTTTGAGTAAATGCATGGCGAAACAAGGTTTAAGAGAGATAACAAAAAAGCCAAAATTTATTATGAGATACAACGAACAGGAAGTTGTGGAGAGCTATGATCGTAAACATCCTGAAGAGATATAGCAGAGAGAAGAACAAGCTTGAATGGATGGTGAAATAAGGTTTAGGAGAGATAACAAAAGAGCCAAAATTTATTATGAGATACAACGAACAGGAAGCTGTGGTGAGCCATGACAGTCCACAAACCGAAGAAGTAGCAAATATAAGGATTTTGAGAATTAAACAAAAAAATATGGCACTGCGAAACAATTGTTATACTTAATTTGATGTCTAGATTCGATCAAAAAAGATACAGACAAGGCAATTTCTAAGATCGTTGAGAGCCTCCGTTTACAAGAGATTCTACTGTATGGAACTGTTTATCTATTTAGGAGAGTATTATCAATGCAAAGAAAATATAAACCTTGTATATGCTAAGTAGCACTTAACACCAGAATTTGTGCAGACAGAATACATATTTACTACGTTTATCCAGAGACTTGTGTAATGTCAAATTCAGGGATTGTACTAAATAGAAACAGAAGGAGCTCAATAATAACTTGCCAAACATTTACGAACATTTCTCTTAATAATAATTTTAAAATAATTCAGCAAATAATATTATTTTATTTATGCTAATCGGACTCTTGGCAATTGCTTACTCGGTTCCTGTTGTTTAATACTGTCCATCTGAAAAATAGCACTTTTATTGCAGTTCCCATAATTTCTGGACTTTTTGGTTTGGAGAGATACCAATAATTTTAAGTTCAAGCTCAGGGGTAAAAAGATCCCAATCAAACCTCTCCTTTTAAAGGGCTGGGTTTATTTTTCTAGCTTCAAGGGGTCTTCCACCCCAGTACCTCTCCTTAAGGTGGGGGTTATTGTTCAACTTCCAGGGGACCTTCCCCACCTAGTCAATACCTCTCCTTTGTAAAGGGGCTGGGTTTATTTTTCTAGCTCCAGGGGGTCTTCCCCCTAGTACCTCTCCTTTGTAATTTTTATTGTTCAACTTCCAGGGGACCTTCCCCACCTAGTCAATACCTCTCCTTTTTAAAGGGGGTTTATTTTTTAGCTTTTTCTTCCCCAGTACCTCTCCTTTGTAAGGGGGGGGGGTTGCTTCCAGGGGACCTTCCCCACCTAGTCAATACCTCTCCTTTGTAAACCCTTTCCAGGGTCTTCCCCCAGTACCTCTCCTTTGTAAGGGGGGGGGGTTATTGTTCAACTTCCAGGGGACCTTCCCCACCTAGTCAATACCTCTCCTTTGTAAAGGGGCTGGGTTTATTTTTCTAGCTTCCAGGGGTCTTCCACCCCAGTACCTCTCCTTTGTAAGGTGGGGGGTTATTGTTCAACTTCCAGGGGACCTTCCCCACCTAGTCAATACCTCTCCTTTGTAAAGGGGCTGGGTTTATTTTCAGCTTCAGGGTCTTCCCCCCAGTACCTCTCCTTTGTGGGGGGGGTTGGACAAGGCATCCCCAAAAGGGGAGATTCTGAGGGGGTTGGACAATTTTCCCAACTGTATTGCTGTTACACCACCTTTAAATTTTGATGTTGTGTCACATTTAGTAGTGACGTGTGTGCGCTGAATAAATAAATGCTTCAGGCTGAAAATGGAGTACTGCTGCCATATATGGGCAGGAGCTGCACAGTCTTCACTTTCTAGTCTCGATAGAGTCCAAAAGCGTCCCCTCGTCCTTGTGGGTGATGAATTATTTTACACCCTACAACCTCTTTTCCATAGACGAAAATGTTGCAAGCCTCTCACTGCTCTAGTTCCATGGTAAATTTTCCGACGAACTACATTTGCTAGTTTCACCAGTCCTTGACAACTAAGACCCACCATGTCACACATTGTAGCAAACCAATTACATTACTATCGTATTCCATTGGTGAGACACAAGTTCCACTTGGGCAGATTCTTCCTACAAACCGCTGATGTGTGGAGCCAACTCCCAAGAGGATGCTTCCCTGATCACTACAATCTTAACCTGTTGAAGTCTAGAGTCAACCATTATCTTCCCCACATACTATGCCTCTTACTGTGTAACCGGCTCCCAAGAGGATGCATCCTTGATCACTACAATTTTAACCTGTGAAATCTGGGGTCGGCCGTTATCTTTCCCACATAAACTGCGCCTCCAACTCTGTAACTCTCTACCTGGAGTGGCTCTTGGGCCTTGTACAGGATGAACATCATTGTAAAAGACAAAAAAGGTAAAATTTTATGATCGAAATAATGTAAACTTAATTATAATTTCTCTAACAATCCTATTCAAACTGATCGCGTTGGTTGACGCTACGTTGTGGAGAAAGAAAGCAAATGGAATTTAAAAAAGAAAAAAATGGAAGTATTTTTGAGGAGGAAATAATAACTGGGAATAACAATTAACTAGCCATAATGTATGACTGTTTGCGTCGTCTTTTCCGACTTCGAAAAAAAGAGAGACAGTGGAGGGCGGGGAATGGCTTCCTTTTCTTTTCTTTTTAAATAAAAGTCCAATAATAAATAATAAAAAGGCAAAAGAAAAGTTGTTTTTTTTTAAATAAAGATAACCCAACCAGGTTGACAATTTGTTCAGTGCTAACAAATATTTTATTTGACGTTCGGCTGAATAGCAACAAATGTTTCCATTAAATTCTGTCTTGTTTCCATTTAGGAGAAACAATTTTCGCGGGGATTACTTTCTTATTGTGACTCGACGGTGTTGAAGAAAACAATAGAAAACGAAACAAAATGGAGGAAACTCTCTCTCTCTATATATATATATATATATATATATATATATGTGTGTGTGTGTGTGTATAAAAGTGTTCAGAGAAAATAAAAGACGAAAACAGGAATAGTTTGCTTTTTTAAAAAAAACTGAGACGTCGATTTTGAAGTTGAAAGGTATAAAACGAACGGGCGGGTTGCGTAAGAAAAACTAGAGGAGAGAGAGAGAGTAAGGGAAAACTAGAGGAGGAGAGAGAGGAGGGTAAAAGGGAAGGGGGAGGGAGGAAGAAGAGAGGAAGAATAGGAGGTAAGAGGAGGGAGAAGAGAGGAGAGAGAGGGTAAAAGGGAAGAGGGAGGGGAAGAAGAGAGGGAAGGAGAGAGGGAGGAAGGGAAGAGAGAGAGAGGAGGAAGAAGAGGGAAGGAGAGAGGAGAGAAGAGAGGGAGAGAGGAAGAAGAGAGGGAAGAGAGAGAGGAGGAAGAAGAGAGGGAAGAGAGAGAGGAGGAAGAAGAGAGGGAAGAGAGAGAGGAGGAAGAAAGAGGGGGAAGAGAGAGAGGAGGAAGAAGAGAGGGGAGAGAAGAAGTAAGTGGAAAGTGATAAACAGAGAGAAAAGCGAGAGAAATGGATAGATACAAATACTCAAGACACACATACGGCGAGAAAAGAACGACAAAGACACGAAGAGAGAAAAGTTGAGAGATACATGAGAAAAAACAATAATTGAGAGGGAGGGATACGAAAAGAGAAAAACAAAAAGAGACAGACAGACAGACACGAGAGAAAAACAAAGTAGGGGGAGAGAGAGAGTGAGAAAGAGAGAGAGAGACGAAGAGAAAAACGAAAAGTCAGAGGAGAGAGAGAGAGAGAGAGAGAGAGAGAGAGAGGGAGACGAAGAGAGAGAAACAAAAAATGAGAGAGACACAAAGGAGAGTAACAGAGTAAAAAAGGCCAAACGATATATGCATGTACAAAGAATGGTAAAACGAAATCAAACACGTTTTTCTTTTTTTGTGGTGCCACTTCTCAAGTAAAGAAAAGCCTAAAAGACAAGGTGGAAGAGAGTAAAGAGAGACAAGCAGAAAAAAAAATCGATAAAACCAAAGTGGGACAAACAGATAGAGAAAATGAGAGACGAGTGAGAGAGAAGGAGAGAAAGAAATGAAGGAAAAATAAAAGAGAAAAACCAAACGTCAGATATCAAAAAAAAAAAAAAAAAAAAAAAAAAAGAAAGAGAAAGACATTAAGAAAATAAAAGCGTCGATCACTAAACAAACGAAATCGTTTTTAATATGTGAGGTCTCTCCTGTCCTCTCCAACGAAGCAACTATCTTCGTTTTAGCAACAGTATTTACCGGTGCACATGGTAGAGAAAGGCCGTCAAAAGCAACAAGATCAAAGGTAAAGAGACAAAAAAAGAAAAAAAAAAACCCAGCTGAAAGAGAGAGATCAAAGTCGAAATGGTGCGTATAAAATTGTGTGAAGTTTGTTGTAGGTTTTCCACCATCGGCATTTACTTGTGATCGCCGTGCCAACCTATTCTGACAGGGTAGATGGAGTCAAGTCTACCTATATCAATAGTCGGCCGTAATCCAGACCGTCTACACTGCTTCAATGGGTAGTAAACAGAGCAGATAAAAAAGAAGGATGGTGAAGAGGAGATCGGGAGGTAGTGAGGTGGAATGAAAAAAAAGAGACGTTGGAGAGGGAGGAAAAGAGGAGGACATTTCAAACATGCCTCAAGAAAAGAGGCAAAGGATACGATAGGGAAAAGAGAAAGGAAAGTTAGGCAAAGAGGATGAGGGAAAGAAAGAAAAAAAATGGCCGAGTGAAAATTAATGAGAAAAAAAGTCGAGAGAGAGAGAGGGGGGGGAAATCTTAAAGAAAAAGTAGGTAGAAAGAAAAGGTAGGGAGGGGGAGAGAGGAAGAGAGAGAAAGAAAAGGGAGAGAGAGGGAAAAGAGAAAAGGTAGAGAGAGAGGAAGGGAAGAGAGAAAAGGTAGAGAGAGAGAAGAAGAGAGAAAAGGTAGAGAGAGAGAAGAAGAGAGAAAAGGTAGAGAGAGAGAAGAAGAGAAAAGGGAGAGAGAGAAGAGAGAAAAGGGAGAGGGAGAGAAGAGAGAAAAGGGAGAGGGAGAGAGAGAATGAAGGTAGAGAGAATGAAATAGAGAGAATGAAAGAGAGAAAAGGTAGAGAGAATGAAAGAGAGAAAAGGTAGAGAGAATGAAAGAGAGAAAAGGTAGACAGAGAGAATGAAGAGAGAAAAGGTAGACAGAGAGAATGAAGAGAGAAAAGGTAGACAGAGAGAGAGAAAAAGAGAAAAGGTAGACAGAGAATGAAAAGAGAAAAGGTAGACAGAGAGAGAGAATGAAAAGAGAAAAGGTAGACAGAGAGAGAGAATGAAAAGAGAAAAGGTAGACAGAGAGAGAGAGAATGAAAAGAGAAAAGGTAGAGAGAAAAAGCAAAGTGAGAATGAAAATAGAAAAGGTATGATGGAGCAGAGAAAAAGAAATAGTAAAGATAGATAAAGATGAAAGTGGGGAAAGAGAAGTAAAAGGTAAAGAGAGAACTAAAAACGATGGAGATAGAAAAATAGAGAAAGAGTAGAGATAAAAGGACAGAGAGAAAAAGATAGAGAAGTAAGGGTAAAGAGAAAATGGATCAAAAATAGAGTGAAAGAGAAAAAATAAAGGTGTAAGTGGAGATAAAAAGAGAAGAGTAAAGATGAATAGAGAGACAGAGAAAAACAAAGACAAAAAGACAAAGAGAGAAAAGTAAGGGGCAAAAGGGAGAAAAGAGAGGGAAAAAAAGATAGGAAAAAAGAGAAAAGCAAAAGAGGAGAGAAAAGCAAAAGAGGAGAGAAAAGCAAAAGAGGAGAGAAAAATAAAAGAGGAGAGAAAAGTAAAGAGAGTAACAAGAGCATAAAAAAGAATGAAGGTGAGAAAGAAAAGAAAGAATCCTAGATAAGGCAAAAAAAAAAAAAAAAAAGAAAAGAAAAGAAAAAAAGGCGATCAAAATAACAAACATGCCCATGAAGATATTTTTTGCCAAGCGGAAAAAAACAACCTAGAATCAAATGCAATGTAAGAAGTCCTGAAGACTGGGAAGAGCAAACGGACATAAGACACTTTAGAATAACGAAGAAAATGGACAAAAGGGGAAAAAAACAAAATATCTGGAGACTTTGAAAACACGCACAGCAGGGGGAACAAAATTAGAAATACAAAGAAAAAAAATATCTAGAATTTAAAATGGTAAAATTCTTGAACCAAAGACCACAAACAATAAACAAAATGCGAATAACATGTGATCATAGTCTTACAAACATTGGTTCGTTAGCATTTTTTCCTTCTTAATTTAAATACACTGGCTCAATATTTTTAACAAGCTGTTCCTATAAACTCAACACTAGATTTTGTACAAATGCAGTCCTGTGCTAGTTAAGTTATAAGGTCTCTTACTTGAGCCCTGAAGGAGGTATGCCTGGCATAGAAGGAATATGCCCAACCTCAGCCAATGAGGCTCTGTACTTAAGCACAATGATAAACCTGGCACTGTAATATCATGAAAGGGATTTATTAAACTGATAACTCAAAATAATATATTCTCTGCTATTCAGACCAGCACACTTATTTTGTTACAGTTACAATGTTTCAATGGTTGTACCATCCGATATGGATGTAAGGCCAAGTGGTTGTTAGATCATTAGCCTACTGTCCATGAGACCCCAGTTTTTAATCTAACCATAATCGATTTGTTGTGACTTCTCTCTTATATCTGCCTATCGAAACAGTCCAAGTGCTCAGCATATATATCTATGCAGCCTTGTGGGTGATGAATTATTCCCCACTCTAGAATCCCTCTCCCATGGACAAAATGTTGCAAGCATCTCTCTACTCTATCACTATTTCCATGGAAAACAAAGAGAAGCAAACTTCCTTAGTTCCACCACTTATAATCCTCACAGATAAGACTGTCATGCTCACTACCTTTGTATTCTTTTACTAAGGAGTAAGTACCACTTGAATAGCTTCTCCCTGAAAGAAAAGCCCCAAGAGGATATTTTCCTGGCTACTACAATCTTTTCCACATACCCTCATAAACGGCGCCTCGAATCACTTAAACTTCAGTAACCCTCTACCTTGAATGATTCTTGGGTCTTGTATAGTGTGAACATAGGGAAGCATAAAATATTTGGTAATATTTGAGTAAAAATTTGCTTGAATATATTCCAGTACTGAAAGAATGTCATGCAATGAAACGCAGCCAGTGTGAATAGAATGCAACTAAAACGTGAGTAACATGAAGGGGATGTGTTCATCTTGAAATTTTCTGTTAGTCGATTAGTTACTAAAAGGAATTAATCAAATAGTTTAGTATAAATCTTATGGAACTCTATGATTTTGTCCACTGCCTCTGCATTTTATTCGCTTTATCCTATTGATTACCAGTAGAACCGTTTTTCTCTAGATGGGAGACATTTCTACTAAGTGTTGTTTAAGTATTTTTTATACTTGTATGCAATTATTAAACGTAACTTGTTAACAGACATACTGTCTAAACATTGTTAAACACTGTATTTTCTTTTCTAAATGGTATAATAATTAGTGCCTGGACGATAAAATGGCCACCCATTTGCATAGGTGTTGATGTAGGAAGTATGAGCTTGATGTCGTGGGGAAATGGTACCTCCACAAGCCAGAGAAGTTGATCGAAAACAACCAAGTCAAGATCTTATAGGATTTC